GGGGGCACGCCTCCCTCTCCCCCTACCTTGCCAGTTCACTCTTTGCGCAAGCGCAGTTCGGGTCTCCTGCAACCACCTCCTCACTCCCGCATAGCTTTCTGGGAAGTGTAGTTGCGGAGGGGTGGTGATGCCTACGGAGCTAGCCGAGGGATCCCTTCCAAAATGCACAATCGCGCGCGGGGATGGAGAGATCAGAACCTCGGGATACCCTCTTCCAACCCCTCTGTACACGTTCTTTGCACCACCAGTTCACTCTCCCAACCTTACTACGCACCCCCTCAAACCTCTCTCTGCCCAAGATACCCCTCTAAAGCCATGCATCCGCCAGCTGGCTGGCGCCCCTTCCTGGGCTGGCGGCCACGAAGCGACTCTGCTCCCCTGTAGATCGAATGGGGTAGGTGCAGGGAGGTGGGCGCAGTGAATCGGAAGGGCAAGGGGAGGGAGTCTGCAGGACGTGCTGAAGGACACAGGGGTTGGAGTGGGGGGAGGGCCCCAGCTCCTGTGCTGTTCCTCTGTGGGAAACCCACGCTGACTTGATGCAGAACGGAGGGTTGGAATGCTGTTGTCTGGGTTTGGGAGGACCTGGCTGAGCCTGCCAAGATCACCTGTCAGTATGACAGAAGGCTATCTCGGAGCCAGAACCAGCCCCGGAACTAGGGTGGCCCCGAGGCTTCTGGTGTTTGCAGTGTCTCTGCTGATCCATCTCTCTCCTCCTGGGAACTCCGATCGATAATCTGCATCACCTCTTCCCAAATTCTGGCTGGACCCTGATTCCATCCATCATATCAGCTTTTTTTTTCTAATGAATATTTTCACCGCTGGAAAAGCTGTTACCGAAGTCTTGGCACAGGGAGGTTTTTCATCATGTCTTTTTTTTTTTTTTTTTTTTTTTTTTTTTTTTTTTTTGGCTAAGACCCATAAAGTACTTTAATCACCCACCTCTTCAGCTGATAATATTTCTTCCCTCACATAAAACAAAAGTCTGCCTCCACATCCTTCCCCATTCTCATTGGAAATAAAATATTAATCCTCTTTTTCTTTCAATACCTCACACCTCACGCCATATTGCACCCCTTTGCCTAAAATTTCTTTGACTTATTTTGCAAGTTTGGAAGCAAATAAGTCAAGGTCTGTGACTTTAAGGCCACAGACTTTCTGCTTTCCGTAGAAGAACAGTTAACTATATAAAGAATAATATCTGAGGGCAGAAGTTGTAAACCAAAGGTTCACCCATAGGTGATCCTTCAGAGACCCAGGAATCTGATGAGATTAAATGTAAAACTGTGTCCAAGCACATTTCTCTAGGGAATGTAAATGTGGCACACGGTTGTCTGTCTGAGGGAGATGGAGGTGCAAGCTTGTGCGGTATGAACCTCATAGTAGAGAGGGGAGCATATGGCCCCCGACTCCTCCTTTGGGTCACAGATGGTAGGAGAGCAAATGGAGACAGCACTGTGGAAGCGACTATCTTTTGCCTTTTGAGCTTGGTCCAAATTTGCTAATGAGTCTCAGTTTCTTTGGACTAATTGGGTGCCACCAAAAGAGTCGATGTCACCAGACTGGGCCTTGCCAAGAACAATTGCTCAGCCAGCAGACTATCACCTAGGGTGCGGAGTAGAGAAGAGTCGAGTAATGTCTTGGTAGAAACGCTGATATTCGCCCAAGAACACAGAACAAGGGGAGAGGACAGGAAAGAAATCCCCAGAGAGCCTCCTGTCTTGGCTTCTTAGTGGCAAATGTTCGCAGCACTGTTTATTCAAATGTGTAATAACAAGCACCAGAAAACAACATGCAACATTCTCCCCCTCATACTTGATCTGCAGTCGCAGCATTAGGAGACCCATGGTCAAGATGTTAAAGGGAACTAATGTCTAAGAAAGGGCCTGGCTGGGCACCTCCACATGGTCAGAGTCTATCAGGGCAAAGGGCAAATGCCCTGCTTGTTGGCCTCCTGTAACAGTTAGAGAAACCAGACACCTTCTACTTCAGGCCTGACTAGGCAAAGTGGTGGTGCCAGCTCTGGTTGGAGAGGACCTGAGTCCTGTGAGGACAGCCTTACCCTTGGCACTTACCCCTGCTCCGCCCCCTGGAGGTAATAAGTTGAACTGGTCTTCCCTCTTAAGGTGGCCAAGAACCAGCCAGGCTCTTGGTGAGGAAGAGCCTTCTGGGCCCTAGAGAGAGCTCTGGGCTGAGAGGGCTCAGTGGGCATGGACAGCTCCCTTGCTAGAGCAGCTGATAGGCCAGTTGCTAACCTAGGCCCCATTGAGGACACTTTATCCATCACATTTCAAATAAATTATAAATATAGACCCAGAACCCAAACACAGTTTGAGTAGAAGCTGCTCACGCATCCCCACGGGGACTTGCTTGAAGAAAAATAAAGGTCACCCCTTTGTTCTTTGTGTCTCTAGAGCTGTAGGGACAACTGTCCCCCTTGTCCTTAATTAACCACGGGAACAACTTAGGATAGAGAGTTTCAGATTTAGGAACATTCTCACCCGCATCAACTTTTGCCCTTCTTAAACTCTTTCCGTAAAATCTAAAACCGAAGACAAAAATTCCAAATTCTTTTACTGAAGGGCTTGGAAACATCTAGATGTGTGTAAATATCATTACCCCTCTCCCCCGTCAAGTGGGGGATTATAACCCAAAGAAGAAATGGATGGCCCCAAGTTTAAGGTTCTAAGCCCTGGGGACCCAAGTAATACACAACCTGATGTGGGTAGCATTGGGGAAGGTGAGGAGGTTGGAGAGGGTTGACCCTGTCTTAAGGACAGGTTAGCACAGGACACATTCATCTTTAGTATACTAGGTGGGTCAATTGGCACTAAATTGGTAAATGGCTGGATTCTTCCTTCTTCATCTTTCCCTGAGCAGCCCTACTGCCAGGGTAGACCAAGGGGTTTTGACCTGGGTAGGGGGCTGATGGTATTTCCTCAATTGGTACCCTCAGACCTTGGGACCTGAGGAGGGATGGGAGTGTAGGGAAAGGGAGACACACCAAAGACAAATATGGAACTGGGTCCCGAAGTGAAGAAGCACCAATATCATCGGGCTGCCCGGGACTGGGGAAGGGGTAGAGTCCGCTACCATACGGAAGTGAGGGAGGACTTCGAGGATGAGGAGAACACCTCTGTGCAAAGGTGAGGAAGGAGAGGTATAAAAGATCTAGAAAAGGTGCTGGCTTGAGAAAATGAGCAGACGGTAAGGGACAAGCGGGCCCATCTATCCATGTCCTGGGACTGCTGGGCACCTTAGCCTCATGGTGGTCCTTTCGGCCTGCCCACAGCCCGCAGGAATGAAAGAAGGCCTGGACAGACTTTAAAAAAAAAAAAGAAAAAGATCTTAAATGCCTTATCTCCAAAAGGTCAGGGAAGGGAGATGGACTGACAGGTGGGGTGGGGTGGGAGAAGGAAGTGGAAATATTCCGAGCCTTCTCATCTTGTTTCCTAAGGGTGAGACAAAACCAAACCCACAAAGGACGAGGAAGTTAGGGGTTTCATGAGCAAGTGGAATTTGGGGAGCAGATGACAGCGTTCCAACTGAGGGAGAACTGAGGGGACAGAAAGTGTATTCCGTCAGCAACTCCCCTTTCTTCCTCGAAGCTGCGGTGCAACGGCACCTCTATCTGCTCCCACTGAGTCCAGGCCTCGTGTGGACCCTTAGAGGGCCCTTGGATAGGGTAATGGGTCTCCCTGTTTCACACATGGTGGGAGCTATGGACAGAGGCCAGAGAGGAGACTGGGGAGCACTTGGGGCTGGGCGGGGGCAGGGCTAGAGATAAGATAAAGACTAGATGACAACATTGAAGGGATGTCATCAAACCACTGCTGGGATCTCCAGACAAGAATCAGGGCAAGGCTGCCAGGTGACTTCCCCCCTCCTCACTGCACTGAGACTAGACAAATGATAACAGAGAGCATCTTTTAGAGACCAGTATCAGGACTCTAGTTTCTTTTCCTTACCTGCAGCAAGCACAGGCTCTCTCTCGGAGGCTTGAGGGCACAAATTAAAGCCCAGTAGGATGCCTGAGCCAGGCAGGTAGACAAGAAGGACTGAGTTCCTGCCATGTGCAGTTCCAGCAGGATGAGGGATGAGGGAGCCAGTGGAGGGCTGCCCAGGTAACCAATAACTGATGCCTGCCTACCCATTCATCCATTGTCTCAAGTCTCAAAGCCCAAAATGATGGGGGGAAAGGAGTTGGAGGAGGAGGAAGGTCCTGTGGAAGCCGGAGGAGATGAAGAGGTGCTGTCCAGTTCGGGAGTAGCCAGCTGCTTACTGCTTCTCCACTGCCCCCTGTTCTGCAGCACTCTCCTGGCTGGGGCCCTGGCCCTGGTCCTGGCCCTGTCCGTACCACGGTGTCTCTTTGAACACAAACCAACAGTTTCCAGCCCACAGGAAGAAGTTGATAAAGCCGAAGAGCTACAAAAGAAATCAGGAGCGTTTGTGAGAACAGTCAAGGAGGAGCCGCAGGAGAAATGGGAATAGGAAGAGCACAGAGAACCAGAGGCAAGGTTCAAGGCCATTCTCCAGCGAAAGCGGCTAAACTGTACCCAGAGTGCTCATGCGCAGTGTAACTTGGTCGCTAGCAGAATCTGGCCCTAGGAATGCTAAGTAAATCAAGGAACACGTGGCAGTCGGCTTGAGGTGAGTGAGCCTGGAGCTGTCCAAGGTACTCCTCTAGGGCTAGAGACTCGGTGAAGTCTTTGTTCAAACATCTGTTGTTTTTGCTGTTGCTGTTGTTTGCTTTCTCTGTGTACCTAGCCCGTTCTAGAACCTGAAAGCCTCCTGCCTCTGCCTGACAGGCTGTTGGTACTATAGGTGTGTGCCACCGCACCAGATCTATTCAAATATTTATTTTAAATGTTTTGAAAAACTGACAACATAGGGAGGGGTGGTGGTGCATGCCTTTAATCCCAGTACTCCGGAGGTAGAGATGGGCAGGTCTCTGTGATTTTGAGGATAACATGGTCTACATAAGACAATACCAGGACAGCCAGTGCTACACTGAGAGACCCTGTCTCAAAACACAAAAACAAAAACCTAGCAAAAGAGTAGTTAGGGACAAAAGAACTGATGTTCGCAATTCACTTTGAAAAGCGTTTTCAAACATGGGTTGAGTTAGCCATAATGGTGCACACCTTTAGTCCTAGTACTGGGAGGCAGAGGCATGTGGATCCCCATGAGTTGGAGACCCGTTTGTTCTACATAGCAAGTTCCAGGCCAGCGGCAGCTGTGTAGTAAGACTCTTTCCCAAAATAGTAATATAAGATCAATAATCCAGGCATGGTGGCTTCCACCTGTGCAATCCCAGCACTTAGGCATTTCAAGAGGGAAGATTGTGAATTTGGACCAGTCTGAGTCACCCAGCAGAAAGTATCTTGAAACACAAATGAAAAGAAAAGTGGGTGTAGCGGCACGAATCAGTAATCCTGGTACTTAGAAGGCTGAGGCAAGAGAATCATGAATGCAAGGGCAGCTTGGGCTACATGCATTCAAGGACAACTCAGGTTATACAGCAAGACCCTGTCTCAAAAGTCGAAATAAAAATAATATATAAGGAAAGATGGATCAATACATATGAAGCAGGTACAGTGAACTGTTACCGTTTAGGTGGTGACTATGTAGGCCATCCCTGTAAAAAACAATTTCAGTTTTGCTGGGTATGTGAAAATGTTTACAATTAGAAACTGGAAGAGAAACCTATGTGCATGGTTTTGGAAGACTCCCTGGTGCCCTGGCCATGGAACATTTCATCTGTGGGCCTTTGGGAGGTCTGGGGAATTTTCTGAGGGGGTGATGGGTCGGCTGAGGTGACAAGGGGGCATTTGAGCAGCTCAGTGCTGCAGGTGGGTGATTACCTGTTTACATGGCTATCTCTCAACACTGTAGCAACTTGGATCTTCTGCCAGCAGAACCCACCACTGCTCCCCACACCCACTAAGTGACAAGGGGGGCCAGTTTCTCTCTCACACTGGTCGACTCACAGCTCTGAGCCCCAGCACGGCCCTAAGCTCCCTCTGCACATGCTCTCACGGGACACACAGCCAAACAGGCAAGGAAGGGTAACCTCCAGGGCAGCTAAGAGTGGCAAAAGAGTGACTCAGATTCTTCTCATTCAAAAATATCTTCTCAGGTCAATATCAGATGCAGGGGTTACTAGTCTAGCTGCACAGCCTGTCGGCTCTGGGGACACCTTCTCTATTCTTCTCAGAACCAGCTAGCTGGGACAGCTGGGCCAGTACACCTTCCCCAGACACGGGTCTCACCACAGAGATGTTAGCTAGCCCCATCGAGGGTGTGGCCCCCGCACTGCACACTGCATCCTCTCCGTGGCACACGGACATGGCTGCGGTCAGGCTGGAAGGCCGCGTGGCCCCTTTGACATCAGTCAAGCCCTTGCCCCAGGCAGCTGCAGCAACCAGCCAGAAGAAGGTGAAGGAGACAGTCACACAGAAATCCTAGGAAGAGCGGAGGGAAGAAGACATGTTCAGAATGACCCTCTTGTCACACCAGAATCCTGAGGTCCCAAGACAGATGTCTCCTCCCATCCTACAGGCCACCAAAGGAATGCTGCCGCTCAGACTGCCATGCCCCTGCCCTTAGAATTAAGGTCAGGCAAGGAGCTGCCAAGGCAACAGCTGATAACCCTCCCTCCTTGCAAGCCAAGTGACTTAAATTCCTTACTCTTTCCCCTCAACTTCCCTTTGGACACCACTATTCAAACTATAAGTAATGAAGAAGGCAGATTCAGAAGACAATTGAGGTCTCTCAAGCCTACTTCCCATCTTGAATGTCTGAAATATAGAGGAAGGAAATACTGCTAGTCATAGATAGCTCTCATCGAGAATAACTACATGCTAGATGCAGTACGTGAATGCTCATTTCGTCCTCCTCAAACACTTGCCCATTGCTTCACCTTTATTTTAGAGCCAAGGAATTCATGTGGAGAGAGGCTGAGTAACTTGTCTAATGTCACACAGCTACTACGAGCAAGTGCTAGGATTTGAACCTAGTAAGGTTAGCTCTAGATCCTGCCTCCTCTGGCTGCAAACAAACCAAGCGAGTTTGGTAGGGCAGAGGTCCATTCCACACATAGGTATTAATGACTCAGAGAAGACATCACTTTTGACCTCCCCTCTGGCTCTTGACTTCAGCCTTCTAACAAAGAGCTATTCCATTTCTTGGCCCCATCCTCTGGGCTGGGCTCACTCACCACCAGTGGGAAGCGTTTGTTCTCTGTGTAGAGGTTGTGGAAGCGCAAGTAGAGGACCAGGGCAGCCATTGTGTAGAAGAAGGAAAAGATGCCAAGGGTCACAAAAAACTCGGCGGGGGCAGAGAAGTCTCCCATGAGGTGCATGGTTTTGGAGGTGGAGTCATCATCACAGAGAGGCATCTCATACTGGACCCGGTGCAACCTGCATGTGGCAATGGAAGTCATGCTGAGCCAGGGTCAGCCCCTCTCACCCTGCCCAAGAAGGGCCCCCGTGTTGGCTCTCACCCTGGGAAAGGAGTCATGTAGGTAGGAACTGAGGAAAGCTTGCAGTCAACACAAGAGCTACCTCAAGATTCTACTCATTTCTCCCCTGGTAGTACTGGGGTTTGACCATGGGGTCTCACACATGCTAGGCAAGGACTTTAGCACTAAGCTACAGCCCTCATCTAAGATTCCCCCAAACTCCATTAGTAGCCACACCATACCCATCCATCTGGTCAGAAATGGTCATCCTGAATCTCTATATATCTTGAGGGACCTTTAAGTCACCAATATATAGACAGCCCAACAATTTCTGAGAGTCAAACCACTAGACAAATCACATTCATTCTGCCCTTAGAAACACACAAGCCTGTAGTAAGCGGTGGTCAAATTAAGGTTTGAATTCACATTCACAGACTTGATTTATCCCTCCCTGATTTGGCTACAATGAATAGAGTGGAAAATACAACTTGTGGTGTAGAAGAGATATTTAATCTAAATTGGAGACTGAAATGGTTTCAGACATCCAGAAAAGATGAGCCGTGCCTTCACCCCTTTCTGAACAGTCATTCGCCCCCCGTTAGGCTCCCAAATACTCAGGGATGAGTGTCCTTTTCTACTTCCTGGTCAAGATGTACCTCCTTGCCAGGTATGGTGGCACACACCTTTAATCTGAACACTTGGGAGGCAGAGGCAGATGGATTTCTGTAAGTTCAAGGCCAGCCTGGTCTACAAGAGCTAGTTCCAGGACAGGCTCCAAAGCTGTCTCAAAACCTGTCTCGAAAAACTGAAAAATCAATGCACCTCCTTGTATTTGGGTGACATCGGGTGAGCGTTTCACATCTATTGTTTAACATCTAAACTCTAACAAGCTTCCTTCCTTCAAGGCGCTGAGGAATCTGCAGAGGGGCAGAGAGAGTTGTCACTGGCCCAGACCCCTAGTGTCCCCCAGCTCTCCACCCCAACAGCTGATTTCTCTCTGAGCTGTGGTGAGCTGCCATTGCTTGATTTTGGACTGGAACATTCTAACAACGATATAGCCATGTTTTACTCTGGTCAGTGTCTGAAATGACTAAAAGACAGAATGAGCCAGGTCTTGGTCTATTTTGATCTAGAGCGGCACACAGCAAATGGTCTTTAGGTTGCATGTCCTATGAGCAGGAAGAAATGACGAGAGGTTGGTAGGAGCAGAGGAGGAAGAAAGCCCTGCCAACCTAGCGAAAGGAGGGCATGGGGCCACAGCCAAGCCCTACTCACCTGAAGGGATAGCCGAACAAAACAATGATGGAGCTCACATCCTTGGCTTCGTTGTTGCAGCGAACCATGGCTCCCGTCTCCCCGCTGTAAGAGCCGCAGGACCCGAAGGCGAAAATAGCAAAGAGCTGAGAGAAAGTGAAGCCCCTTTGAGAGTCGGAAGATCTCACCTGTCCAAGGTAAAGAGCTACCCTTCGACTCCAGAGGGTGCAGGTGCTTAGTGGATAGGGAGTCAGGATTCCTTTAACCAAGGTCCTCCTGCTAGGGACCCTCTGCTGCCATTCTTCTTCCAACTCCAAATATTGTATTCTCTGAACAAAGCATTGGGCCAAGTAACCCAGTGAAGAAGTGCGGTCTCAAGGGAGAGGAAGTGAGAGGAACTGTTTCCAGAACTCTCTACTGGGCTTGGCACTTGAGACCACACATAGCTTCTGTAAGAAAATGACTGACACAAAACCTCTGTAATTTTGTTTTTTGTTTGTTTGCTTGCTTGTTTTTGGTTTGGTTTGGATTTATTTATTTATTTATTTATTATGTATACAGTATATAGTCTGCATCTAAGCCTGCAGGCCAGAAGAGGGCACCAGGTCTCATTACAGATGGTTGTGAGTCACAATGCAAACTCAGGACCTCTCTAAGAACAACCAGTGCTCTTAACATCTGAGCCTTCTCTCCAGCCTCTGTAATTCTGGCTTTGGAAATGTCTGTTTCGAAGCTAGACATTTTTTTATGCCCCTCTCTAAACAAGAGATCAGAAATAGATCCAGCCAGATCAGGCCTGCCTGGAATGTTTTCCATTTGATTTCATTTTCATTCCTCCTTGACCAGGCGTGGACTCCGGCACGTCCTTTATTTCTAAGCTCGAGTAGCTTCTTGCCTCATCGGCAGTACGATGGGGGAGGCTTCTACGAAGCTGTTCTGCGGCACTGCCAGCCTGACTTTTCTTCCCCGAGAGCACAGCCCTTTCCAGCAACAGCGCCAGCTGGGCAAATGTTGACAGGCCTGACTCAAGCCCAGGGGAAAGCCCCCTCCATTTTCCTTATCAGCCTCGGCTGTTCCGCTCTGTAATCTGCCTGAGCTGCCATTCTCCAGTGGGAAAAAGCGGGAGTGTTCCGTTCAGAACACCGGATTATTCACTCCACCTTTCATCCCAGCTGACTGTACCTTCTGTCTTGAGGGATATGAATTGTCCCCATCCTGTGAGTCTCACGTTTCTTTCTAATCACATTGATTAAATCAGAAAGTAAGAAACTGTAATCTCTTGTTCTCCCATCTTGTCTGTTCAGCCCATTTCCTGTGCATCTACCTTTGGCATGATACTAGTATTCTTATTAAATGATGAATATATTCTGTTAATTGTTTGCTTCTATCCACTTCTTTGTCACTCAGTGTTCTGGACATTAAGCAAGAAGAAGACAGTAATCTATCTTCCAGGCCTGCATCTGCTCAAGAAGAGAGTTGTGCATTATTTTTCTTTTCTTTTCCTTTTAAAAGATTTATTTGGCCGAGTGGTAGTGGCGCACGCCTTTAATCCCAGTACTCGGGAGGCAGAGGCCGGGGGATCTCTGTGAGTTTGAGGCCAGCCTGGTCTACAAGAGCTAGTTCCAGGACAGGCTCCAAAACTACAGAGAAACCCTGTCTTGAAAAACCAATAAATAAATAAATAAATAAATAAAAGATTTATTTGTTAATTATGTATACAGTGTTCTGCCTGCATGTATACCAGGTCTCATTACAGATGGTTCTAAGTCACCATGTGGTTGCTGGGAATTGAACTCGGGACCTTTGGAAAAGCAGGTAGTGCTCTTAACCATTGAGCCATCTCTCCAGCTCATGCATTATTATTCTAATACTGATCAAAGCGAAAAGAGATATAGATTAGGAATCAGGAAACCCAGGTTCTGGTCTCAGCCCTGTCACTCATTCACTAGGTGGCTGGGCTCTCTGAGTCCCAGTTTCTTCATTTTTAGAATAAGGACTTAGGGTTTATTTAAAGGCTGCTTCCAGCTCTGGAATTCTTCCACCCTCTGTAGCTAATGCTCTCAGCAGAGCATGCCCTTGGCTGGGTTTACCAACAGCTGTGCTCTGCCCCTGGGCAGTATCCAGTGCTACCGCCGTGCCTTGCATGGCCTGGCCTGGCAGAGCTCAATGCTGGAGCCATTGACCGCTCTCTAAAGGTCGTGTGTGCCCCTGTTTTCAGTAGACTTGTTCCAAAGGAGCGAGAATCTCTGTATAGGTAACGATACTCAGGAAGGAAGGAAGAGGAACTGGCCTGCAGTGCCCACATAGCTTCCACATCTGAACTAAGGTCTGAGAGCAGAACAGCAGTGCTGGCTCACCTTCCGGCAGAGCCAGGGACAGAGAAAAGTCACCAGACACCTTTGTATTGTTACCCTTCACACACTCAATGCTGGCCTCTCAAGCAAAACAAAGGGCCTGCACTAGCTAGTCCACAGAGGGATTTTCTTCTCTTCATCCACTCTATGACTCTCTGACTCCTCACTGAATCCTTATTCCTCTTGGTTTCTGGTACCTAGAACAGGACACGATCAGGGTGTCGCACTTGAGGAAGGGCAGTGTGGCTGGGTGTATTTTTAGTCATTGTCTGTTAGCCGGTGGGTATAAGGAAGCACGTAGGGATTCCTAACTCGGGGCAGTGGACACCAAGTAACCTTTCCTTCCCTGGGCACTGTTGAACATCTGCCAAAAGGTGGCATTGCTCAAGAACGTACCTGTACCAGTCACTTTAGTGGTGGGTGGATGGGGACAAAGACAGAGACAGAGAGACAGAGAGGAAGGGGGGGGGTGCTGTCCTTACGGAGCACATGTCTTATACTGTTCAACAGGTTCCGTCCAGCCAACTAAGGCGAATAATTTAAATTACTTCAAATAAAATGAAGCTAAAGCTAAGCTTTGGTTGCTCGGTCATACCAGCCCCAGAGCAAGTGCTCAATAGTCATGTGTGGCAAAGCACTACTCTACTGCTCAGCACGGATTCCAGAACTGTCCATCACCAATGAAAAGTCTAAGTCTATATGGTGATGCCCAGGTTTGAAAATTACGAGCCCTGCTGTGAATTTTCAAAAAGTGAAATATACTCGTGACCACTTTGCTATTCTCTGTCTATCCTTTTCTGTTTTGATTTTCTGAAAGTTAATACACATTATCTAGAGTAGATATTTTTTACTTGTCAGAGTGCACTTTTGTTTATTCCTTTTGTGGTGTCCGGTGGTGAACCCTGACTGGACCGTGAGTATGTTAGCTAAGCACTCTACCATAAACCCATATCTCCAAACCCAGAACACCACATCGTGTGGTGCCAGCTAGCAGAGTTAGTGGATAACTGGAAAATCTGAGAAGCTCATAGGTTCTCAGAGCAGTGGGACCAGAAAGACCTCAGACACCATTAGACCAGTGGTCTCATTTCACTTCTGGGAACAGACGCCCTCCTGACTCTGACTAAGTGGTGTTCTCAAGGTCATATTTAGCGAATGTGCAAGCTCAGTTTCCAATTCATAGCTCCCAATTCCCTGTTCTGAGCTCCTTCCTCTTCATTCCTTCATTTGATACTGAGCATCTGCCTTGTGCCCTGATGCCAGAGATAAGATGAGTAAGACCCTGAACCGAAGAGTTCCTACGGCTGAAGAGGAGGTCTCTTCTGTGCCATGCATGGCAGAAGGAGGAAGACAGGTGCTCTGCCCTGGGCTGCAGGAGCAGAGGTACCAGCCAGCCCATTCACAGCTTTCAAACCTTCTACTTTTCTATACCAGATTGCTCCCTGCCGTAACCAGGTAGGGACCAAAGCCCCAGGACCAAGAAGAGAAGAACATGAAACCACGCCTCTCTCACACACAAGGCTATGAGATAACACATTGATCATAAAGAAGGAAGATGGAGTAGTGGACAGCAGGGGAATGTCTGGGGCTCTGGTGCTGGGAATGGTGATGGTTGTACTTTGCCCTCTACCTCCTCCTCTGCCCCCCCCCCGTCTTTGCATCTCTTTGAACAGATAGAATGACCTTCCCAGTTTAAGGGTAGGTTCCGCTCTGATACTGACTGGCTTACTAGTTATAATCCCATGTCAACCCAAAAAACACTAGCCCCCAGGGAATGCAAGGTACAACAACATGGGTTCTTCCCCCAGTCCTGCTTCACAACCTTTCCTTGGTGCCATGGATTCTGACAGTGTCCGTTTTAAATCTCCAATAGAAAAAAAAAAGTACACCAAATAAATAAAAAACCAAATTCCACCAATGAAATAGCTTCTTCATATTATAGATCCCCAAGCCCCCCACCACCACCAACTCCCAAATCATCTGTCCTCATCAGAAGGGCGTACTTGGATAAAATTAATATGATCTATTATTTGTAAGGAAATAGAATCCCATATGACTGAGTCACCGGGATTCTTTTGTACCTCACATTCAAACGGAAAGGTTGGTAATGATGACTGAGTAATCTCACCAAAGGGTGACATTCTGCATAAGAATGACTGCATAATAAGACTAATGGGACAGTCTGCATAAGGAAGAAAGTTAGGAAAGGGAGGAAGGAAGGGAACACACATTTATGGAATCTTCCCACTGTGATCTTCAGGAATGTTCTATGCCCTGTAGACATTACTTCACATAGTCCTCCCGGTGAACCTACATTACACAGTTCAGCCTCAGATGGGGAAAATGAGGCCCGTAAAGATTTCACCAATTAACTAAGTTTCGAGGGATGGGAATCAAAAGAGACTGAATTTTAAGTCAAAGTCCATCCAATCCTATTCTTTTTTTCCTTTCTTTTCTTTTTAAAGCTAGTTTTTTAGGGCCAGGGAAATGGCTCAAAGGCACTAGTCATGTAACCCTGGTGACCTGGCGTTCCATCCTTAAAATCTATGTAAAAATGTAAAGAGAAAACAAGTTCCTTTGAACTCCACAGGGATGGCAGGCACTTGCACTTGTGCACAATAATGCACATATAATAATGTAATGCACCCCACAATAATGGTAGTGTAAAAGTTTGTTTTTTTTTAAAAAAAAAAAGAACAACAAAAACCTACTTCAGCATTGTTTGGCTGCATTCATGAGCAGAGGCAGGCAGATCTCTGTGTGTTGGAGGACAGCCTAGTCCTGTGAGTTCCAGGACAAGCAGAGCTATGTAGAAAGACCCTATCTTTAAAAAAAAAAAAAGGATGGGTGGATGGATGGATGGATGGATGAATGGATAAATGGATGGATGGATATGGCTGGCTTGATATAGACCTGATAAGATTCTTGAATTGGAACTGAGGTGAGATTAATTTCTGAGTCTTTGTTTGCTTGGTTTGGTTTGGTAGACCAGACTGAGATCTGCCTGTCTCTGCCTCCTAATTGCTGGGACTAAAGGGATGTGCCAGTATGGGCAGATTAATTTCCAAATCTTAAAGACACTCTAAGTCCTGACTCATGACAGAATTGCATCACCTTCTTCCCACAAGGGTTGCACAAGTAAACTTGTCACGGGTGGAACTTTTGCCAATGGGTAAGAGTAAAAAGTTTTCAACTGCCATTGTGAGAATGACAAGATCTGCGCGTTCCCTTTCCCTCTGGGGAGGAGTATTTCTCACGCTGCTTTCTGTGTGCTTTTCTGTTCATCTGAGAAGATTCAAGCCAGCCAAACCCACATCCAGGTTTTAAGGCTACCTGGGAGAACACTGAAAGCAACTCACGGCTCCTTATAATGCTACCCTGCAAATGAAGGCCAGCTCCAAGCCTTTCCTCAGAGACCTGATTTAGCAGGATGAGAGGAAGACGGCCCATGTTTTGTACAATTCCTTCTCTATAAATTTGAAGATCATAAAAGTCAGGTCTTAATTCTGAGGGTAGTCGTTCTCACCTGTGGGTCATGACCCCCATAGGGGTCACATATCCCATCTCTTAGATATTTATAGCAGAATTACAGTTATGAAGTATCAACAAAACATTTTTATGTTTGGAAGTCACCATAACATGAGGAACTGTATGCAAGGGGTTACAGCGCTAGGAAGGTTGAGAGCCTAAGACTTCGGGTTAGAAGACTGAACCATTGTGCTAGGAATCGCTGGGTGCAGGATGCTGTAGGAAGCGGTGGTGAGAGAGATGGCAAGATTAAAGAAGAAAGCCTTCCAGAATCTTCCTGGGGGAAGCAAATCCATGGTCATTTCTCCTTGTCTCCATCCCTTGACAGTCTGTCTCAACTTTTTATTAGATCCACTTCTCTAGCTTGGATAGCACTTACGTCCCATTCCTCTGGGCTGCTTGCGATGCCTCCTTACTTCTCAATGCCAGTTCCTTTGAAGCCTTCCTTTCCCTACTCAATCCCCTCTGGTGCTCAAGTCAGAACAAGAAAGGGCAGGAGGTGAAAGAGTTCAGTCAACATTGGTCCCCCTCTTGAGGCAGTAGGGAAGTGGAAAGTCCCAGAGTTTATTTACACTTGGGACTCCCAGGCTGGTCTGCAGTCAGTCAGGGTCTCAGATACCCAGAGACAATCCCAAATGCGCTATTGTTCCTGAACTCCAGACGTCACGATTCCTATCCCAGTCATGATTATGTAGGATTTGGTGACATCACGCTGATCCCTCTCTCCCGCGAATGCAAAGCTCTTCAGAATTCACTCCTCCCGGGTATCAATGGGAAGTTGTGCCCTAGCTGAGTCCACTGTTGAGGGTATATTAATAACTTCATATATGCCAGGCAGAGGTGGCACACATCTTTAAACGCAGCTCTAGGGAAGCAGAGGCAGGCAGATCTCTCTCTGTGTGTGTGTGTGTGTGTGTGTGTGTGTGTGTGTGTACACAGAGACTTCCAGGACAACCAAGGCTACACAGAGAAACCCTGTCTAGAAAAACCAAGGGGAAAAAAATAACTACATATAGATAGCATTTGGTCCATGGGTTGTCTAACAGAATCCTTTCTGCAAAAATGCACAAAATGTCCCTTAAGTCTTTATGGTTTGGAAAACTGACAGCACCTGTCCACATTTCTAATTTATGACGATCTTGGACCCTGTGTCTGAGAAGAGAGGGCTTGCCAGTGTCTTAAAGTACCAGTGAAACAAGGCATTATTCCTACTGGACCAAAGCAGGGGAAACCGAGGACATGGGCAAAGGAAAGTTTAAGAATGCATGGTAAATTTGATGTCGAGTTCTAGTCTAAGTATGGGTTTGATCCAAGTTAGTGACTCATGTTGGAAACCAAAGTCCAGAGCAGTGACTTGCCCGAGGTCACAAAGCTGAGAAAGGTAGCTCTAGGCCTGCAATCTACCTCCTCACCTTCCTGGCTCAGTGTTGGTATTACACCTGCCGCATTTTAATAGCGCTGTTATTTATCTTTTATCTTAACTGTTTTATTTAATCGAAGGACTGAAAAACTAACTGGTCTTTCATTCATCCACTTCTTTACTCGGTTACAGGTACCCGAATTACTCCAGTGACCTCAGCTGGGAGTCTGTCTCCTGAGACCACCCCTCGGATCATCCAGGTCCTAGAGCATTCTGGGCAGAATGACTTCTGTAACCCTCTTCCTTCCCTCCGGTGCGCTCCGAGGCTTTGCTCTCACTGCAAAACGGACCTTTACCCTCCTTGTCCTCCTCACCCCTCCCACCACTGAATCGTGGTATGTGCAGGATCAGAGTTCTGGAAAGGTTACACCCGAGTCCTCTCGCCCGAGTGAAATGTGAGCACCCTGGGCAAAGGCGGCTTGCACATAGAAGGTCCGAATCCGGGACTCTGAAGACCTGGCTCCTCTCCCTCCTTCCATCGACTGCTGGAGAAGCAGCCCTGGCCCTCCCCTCCCCCGCCCACCTGTCGCCAACCCCCACCCTTCCGCAGTAGCTGGGCCCAGGGCATCTCCCCAGCCTCCTCGGGGCCACATTGCTTCGGGTCAGTGTCACAATTCCAGGCTCCCGAAATAGCCCGGGGCTAGGGCCGACTCACCCACTGGAGAACTTTGATGAAGCCCAGCGGCTCCTCCAGGCGCCGCCAGCGCAGCCCCACGAGCAGGCGGTCCACCTGCCGAGACAGAGCCAGCAGACAGTCAAGGCGGGGTGGGGTGGAGGGGAGAATGGCCCCCTCTACTCACACTGAGGGGTGGGGAAAGCGGAATCGAACTCAGGTGGGACATCTAGGTGGACAGAGGCTGATGAGAGTCCACGGGCCAGGCGCTTGGGTCGTACCTGCGGGCGCGGAGACTTGTCCGACGTGCGGCTGGGGCTCTCTGTCGAGGACATGCTGGCGCGGCGGGGCACAGTGCGGGGCTTCGGCTCCCCGGGCGGGAGGCTGCGGGGCGCGCGGGGGCGCTGGGGATGGCGGACTCGCGACCGTGGGCAGGCCGGGCTCCAGGCTGGCTGGCGGGCTGGGTTGTGGGTTGCTGCTTGCGCTCTCGGAGGCTGTGTCCGCCTTGCTGCCCCGCCGGCTGCAGAAAGCCCCCGAGTCCGATTCAAACTTCTGTCAAACTCTCTGGCTGAGTCTGCAGCCCAGTCACGTGGCGTGCGGTCGCGAACCCTGCTCCCGCCCCCCTGAGCTCCCCTTTTTCCGCGCGTAGGGTGCCTTAAAGGGACCTGTGGAGCCTGCTAGCCGTCTGGCTGCCAGGAGGCTCGGGCGCTTCGTTAGAAGCTTTCAGGGTGGATGTCCACTGTTCAACGCAGCCGCTCCAACACCAGGACCAAGGTCAGGAACCCACCCGGAATGCGTGGACTTCTAGAGCAGCTTTCCCAGTTTTCCTGAGTTCTTTCGGAGGGTTCTTCTCTTTTTCCATACCGTAGTAACTAGAGCACACAAGATTTTCCCAAGACATCCTGAGTGCTGTTGTAAAGGTGCTCCACCAGCCAGAGCAGACGGAGAAAGAACTGGATTATAGACTGTCACTTCGCAATTGACAAGGTTTTACTTTTTAACAACAAACGGCATTTAGATGTTAATGAGTTTCAAAGTTATCAAAATTTAAAACGTAAGAATTCGATCTCCTTTTAATAGCCAACACGATTTAAATGAGAATTAAGGAACTGCGGGCGCAGAGATTGGAGTTGGTATGAAAACTAAGGCAAAGTTGCATTCTGATTGACTTTGAATGGGCCTCAGTTTTGAAAGGTGGTCTGTGGGAGCCGAAAGTGAGCAGTCGTATTACACATTGGGTTTACACGGAATGGAAGTCTAAGTAGTAAAAGGTGACAGACACCGTTTAACCAAAGACTCTGAGTGACTCAATGGTCGAAGCTTGGAGGGAACCAGCCTCTCTCCTTTGCTCCTAACTTTTATCCATCAACGTCATTCTTTGATAATATGCCTTTACTCCCTCCTTCCAGCATTTCAAAACCAGTGCTTTTTGATCAAATATTCTGCTGTTTATATAATTCAGCCTCTGAATAAGAGCCTTCCCAAACCTAGGCATTAGTGGGTGGGACAAGCAGCTAAGGCTGGGCTTGAAGGAAACTTCTGCCGTGGATTTGCATGCAAGTTTGGGCTAAATAAGGAATTGCTGAGTCTGCAGATATGCCCTTAATAAATCATGGGGACAAGAGAGATAGTTCAACAGTTAGGAACATTGCTTTCTCAAGGACCAGGCTTTGGTTCCTGGAACTCGCATGGAGACTCACAGCCATCTGTAATTCCAGTTCTAGGATATCCTCTGCCTTAATGGATGCACTCAGCGGCTCATGCATCCACGCAGGCAAACATCATATTTATAGGGTAAAGTTTCAAACAATTTGAAAAAATTATGATGCAATGTCTGTGGACTGTTCCCAGATATAGTATGATTGGGGGGGGGGGGGGGCAAGACTGATAAACACAGGATAGAACAACAATGGACTGAGTCAAACAAGGCTGGTCAGTGAGCATTATAATATAGAATATTATAATATGTTTCATTTCATATCTGTGTGGTGCGGGACTTTACACCTCAGTCTTCATGGTGGCTTCATGAAAGTTAATGGAACAGAAATGACTGTAGATCAGGAACTTAAGGCAGCAGAATAATTTTCTGAAAAGATACATTTATCCTTACTTTCTGTGTTTGAAACTTTACCCTATTAATATGATGATTGTTTGACTTACTGATACTTGTAGCTTTATTTATTTATTTATTTATTTATTTATTTATTTATTGCTGTGGAGAATTTTACCACAAACATAGTGTTTGGGTTATTTTCAAAAGTCCACTCTTCAAGCACACTGCTCTTATACACACACACACACACACACACACACACACACACACACACATTTTCTAATATAGGTTTCTTACACAGCACTGAGTTTTCAATGTCCATGTGTGTGCACTTGTGTGTGCATGTGTGTGCATGTCCAAACACATACCTTGGGTTGTAAATAAATGTTTCAACCTGACCCATTGTACAAATTGAAGCAAGATGGCTCAAGGGGGCAAAATCTCTTTCCAGGCCATCATGATGACCAAAGTTCAGTCTCTGGAACCCACAGTAGAAGGAGACAACAGACTCCCACAGTACACACATAGACCAATAGTAAATACGATTTTATTTCATTTTAACGTTTCATTTTACCTTATTTTAGAGACAGGATTTCTCTGTGCAACTGCCCTGGCTGTCCTGAAACTCACTTTATAGACCAGGTTGACCTTGAACTCATAGAGATCTGCCTGTCTCTGCCTCCCGAGTGCTGGGATTAAAAGCCTGTCTTGTAAATACAATTTTGCAAGTTAACTGAAACAAAGATTTTGTGAAACTCACATTTTCTATTCCATTTCATTAAGAAAGTCCTCATTCTGATTTCTGTCACCAAAAAATAAAACGCGCTTTTCTAACTTGTGGGTCTCAAGATGTTCAAGGGAGGATGTGGTATAAATTCTGGATTTCCCTGGGTCTTCCCGTAGGAGCTTCAGCAACTTTGTCAATAATACAGGAGCCAAAAACACGCCTGTCTTCTCTGAAAAGAAAATCAAAGGACAACTGGACAGACTTCCTGCTGCTGGGGATGATATGGTGATGGCCACAGTTAAGAAAGACAAACCAGCCTGCAGTGGTGGCACATGTCTTTAATCCCAGCACTCAGGAGGCAGAGTCTGGGCTATCTAGTTGTGGTTTCACTTGCATTTCTCTAGTAGCTAATAATGTTAAGCATGTTTTCATTTATTTATTTTCCATTTGGTGAATCCTTTGGCTCAGGGTTTTCGTCTTTCTAAAAACTCAGGCTGGGGTTCCTTACTATGGCGCTATGAAAATCCTTTATATGCTCTGAACGTAAGTCTTGAGAAATGTTTAGATTGATGGTCATAGCTGTATCTCATATGTTTATGTGCATTCCTATATACATGACTTATGCATATTTCTCCCAGTCTTTAGTTTGCCTTTTGCATTCTCCTAATGCTATGTATGAAGAGCAAAGGGTTTTAATTTTATTCCAGCAGCATATAAAGTAACTACTACACACACTGTGGCCAAACCAACTACACATTCAAGGGCACATCATTCTCTCAGTGTTTTGTTTGCTTGCTGAGACGGTGTCTGTCTATGCTGCCCAGGCTGGTCTTAGACTTCTAGGCTGAAGCCATCTTCCTACCTCAGCTTCCCCAGTGGCTGGCAGTGCAGGGACATGCCACCAAGCTTGGTTTCTTTTCATTAAACCAACGGAGTTATCCCATAACAGATATTCCAGCAACTAGTTCATGCCTGCCTGTTAGGAGTAGAGGCACATATAATTACACACACACAGAGAGAGAGAGAGAGAGAGAGAGAGAGACAGAGACAGAGACAGAGAGACAGAGAGACAGAGACAGAGAGACAGAGAGACAGAGACAGAGAGAGAAGGAGAGAAAGAGAGAAAGAGAATTTCTTGCCAACTTTCTGCCTATTGGTTGGTTTTTTATTTTTAATTTAGGTAACCTGAAGACCATAACCCCTCTTGGGCTGACCACAATGACACCTGTAATTTCAGGGTTTGGAAGGTTAAGGCAAGTAAGTCTTGAATTTTAGGTCAGCCGAGACCACACACATAGTGAGACTTTGTCTCCCAATAAGGAAAAGAATACTTACTTTGGACAAACTATCTTTTATTATTTAGAATTCCACTTCTGTAAGATTTGAATTTATGAACAATTTGTAAAAACAACAACAAAACAAAAAACAATACATTTCAAAAGCCCTGAATCTTTATACATCCTTCAGAACACAGATTAAGAACAATATTTCTATGAGAATGAAAACCAGTGGCACTGTCTTCAATAAACACTTTTAAGAGTTCTGTTTCTAATGCCGGGCAGTGGTGCACGCCTTTAATCCCAGCACTTGGGAGGCAGAGGCAGGTGGATCTTTGTGAGTTCGAGGCCAGCCTGGTCTACAAAAGCTTGTTCCAGGACAGGCTCCCAAGCTACAGAGAAACCCTGTCTCCGAAAAAGAGTTCTGTTTCTTATCTGCATGTATGGAGAAGAAAGTGTGAGAGTGCATAGGCACAATTCTCCAGATGTGGACAAATGAGTGCATGGGTGCAATTCTCCAGGCGTGGACAAGTGAGTGCATGGGCACAATTCTCCAGCCGTGGACAAGTGAGTGCATGGGTGCAATTCTCCAGGCGTGGACAAGTGAGTGCATGGGTGCAATTCTCCAGGCGTGGACAAGTGAGTGCATAGGCACAATTCTCCAGGCGTGGACAAGTGAGTGCATGGGTGCAATTCTCCAGGCGTGGACAAGTGAGTGCATAGGTGCAATTCTCCAGGCATGGACAAGTGAGTGCATGGGTGCAATTCTCCAGCCGTGGACAAGTGAGTGCATGGGTGCAATTCTCCAGCTGTGGACAAGTGAGTGCATGGGTGCAATTCTCCAGGCATGGACAAGTGCCATCTCCTGGGTCCATCTACCTGGGAAATCAGATGGATGAAAGCCAAGTGGTAGGAAATAATCTTGACGTGACACTTGAGGGTAGAGGCCCTAAATGAGAAACGCCTAGATTGTACTGACTACCCACGGCTTGGGTCGGTTGGTTGGTTTTTTTTGAGACAGAATCTTACTATGTAGCCCGGGTGGGCCTCACACTCGTGACCCTCAGTCTCCCATTAAGTTTAAGCTTTGAGCAGAATGTGTGGCATTTAGATGAGACTGGGCGCTGAGCAGGCTCTAGGACTAAGTGCTCCGACTTGTCACTAGAGGGTTCTGTTCTTCAGTAACTGTGTTTCCTTTGCAAAAGATGCATTTTTTCTAATCTAAAGAATGGGGCTGATAAGAGTATCTACCACGAATAGCTATTGTGGAGTTTAAATACCACAACACAATGCACAGCGTGATGCCTAAAACCTAGCAAGTGACAGCTACCAAGTGAGTCTACAAGGCTAAGCTGCAGAGTGCAGAGTAAGCTAAGCGAATGGCTTTTTCTTCCCAGCTCGGAGCCAGAGCCTGCCAAGGTTGAGGCCAAGGATACTTCAGGAAGCAGAATCTCTTGGTGGGAAGATGTATCCCTGAAGTGAAATTAGTAAGATTCGG